ACGAGGCAGTACCTTCATAAATTGTTTGCTGGGAACATTACCTAAAATTTCATTAAGGACAAATGAGACTAGACATTTCTTCATTAAAGATTAAATACCCTCGTCATCTTTACTCATAAAAATGTATGCAATGCATTTCTAATTGTCTTTCTTGAAAGATTAAAAGATAGCAAACCACTTTGTGTTCATCAATTGGATTCTCTTCAGTGGTCCTAGACTTCTGAAGGGGTCTCATTTTACACTACTTTGCATTTCAGCTCAGAGCCTTTATTAGGATAGCACAGTTTGTCAGGTACTCTACCACTCTGCATTTGAAACGAAGTATATGTTTTTATTTCAAGATTCAGTATTCCAGTCATGAAATAAAACAAGTCTAACAAAATTATAATAACCCTTTTGCAACAAAACTCAACTTTTTAGACACACAAATAACAACTGCTCACTAAAACATTTTTTAAACATTTGTTCCAAGATTAAAGGCAAGCCAAAAATAACTACAGGGTATTTTTGTTCTAAAATTTAATGCAAGCCAGAAATATCTACACAGCAAAGCAGTAAAGAATAGTGGTTGAAAGTACAACTACAATTCATTGTAAGACAATATTACAGTTATTAAAGAAAAAAAAGTTAAATTGAAGTAAGGTCTTATAAATGAATAGTGAAGAAAGAGTATGTCCATATTTTTGGTTTGGACAACTGCAACTAGTTTCTTACCCACCTATTAATTACTTGTAATTATATTTACAGTATTGTAGATAAAAGTGTCACTAACAATCTCACAGACAGTTAAGAAAGTTTTAATAAACTTAAACTTCAAAAAGGATAAGTATATAATTATGTGGGAGCCCTTAAATACTCCTGGTTACATTTTAATTTGCTCAACCTCTCTGCCAAGCAACTTGGCAAATCAGTATCCATCAAAAGCCATAAAAATGTAAATACGGTTGGACCCAGGAATAACCCAGAAGAGGTTATGCATGAAGATGTTAATTTAATTCATTTTTTTTTTATTTTTTGGGTAACAGCTTTATTGATATATAACTCACATACTATAAAATTTAATCCACTTAAAGTCTACAATTCAACAGTTTTTAGTACATTCAGAGCTGTGCAACCATCACCACAATTTTAGAACATTTTCATCCCTTCAAAAGAAATCTAAAGCTGGCTGGTTAGCTCAGTTGATTAGAGTGCACCCTTATAACACTATGGTCAATACAAGCCAACAGCCAAAAAAAAAAAAAAAAGAAAGAAACCCAACACTCTAGCTAACAATCATCTCCCAATCCCATGCTGCCCCCAGCCCTAAGCAACCACTAATCTACTTTCCATCTCTATAGATTTGCCTTTTCTGGGCATTCATATAAATAGAATCATAATATGTGACCTCTCGTGACCGGCTTCTTTCACTTTGTTTTCAAAGGTCATTCATGTTATATATAGCATGTTATCAATACTTCCTTTTTATGGCCAAATAATATCCACTGGGATGATAAACCATATTTATATATTCATAAGTTGATGGACATTTAGGTTGTTTCATCTTTTGGCTATTATAAATAATGCTACTTTGAACATTCACGTACAAGTTTTTGCATGGACATATTTTCATTTCTCAGGTACGAGTATATACCTAGGAGTGGGATTTGCATTATTTTTATAGGAATGAAAATCAGAAGCCCCATGCTGCCCCCAGCCCTAAGTAACCACTAATCTACTTTCCATCTCTATAGATTTGCCTTTTCTGGGCATTCATATAAATAGAATCATAATATGTGACCTCTCGTGACCGACTTCTTTCACTTTGTTTTCAAAGGTCATTCATGTTATATATAGCATGTTATCAATACTTCCTTTTTATGGCCAAATAATATCCACTGGGATGATAAACCATATTTATATATTCATAAGTTGATGGACATTTAGGTTGTTTCATCTTTTGGCTATTATAAATAATGCTACTTTGAACATTCACGTACAAGTTTTTGCATGGACATATTTTCATTTCTCGGGTACGAGTATATACCTAGGAGTGGGATTTGCATTATTTTTATAGGAATGAAAATCAGAAGCAATTTCATAGTCCAACAATGGAATTATGCTACACTCTCAACAGTATTATACAGAAAAACGTTGGCTGTGTAAAATAAGGACCACATGGTAACACAGAAGGCTGCATGAAGTGAAAAAAGCAGGCTACAACCCCCCTAAAATCCTTTTGCGGTTTCCCATGGGTCTCCCTATTCCCTTCTCTGTCCTATGGAATCCGCTCTTTCCCTTAATTCTCTGAGGGCCAACCACAACAGCTTTCACAGACTATTAGAATGTCTCAGGTTCAGAGCCTAATGTGTTGTTTCCTCTGCCTGTATCACTCTTTGCCCACTTCTTCACCCAGCAGTTTCAAGTCTCATCTTAAATGTTACTTCTTCAGAGAAACCACTTCTGATATCCCAAATTAGGATAGGGGCAAGTACTTCCATAGCAACCACCAACTTTCCATCTTAATACTTTTGATAGTGGTTAATTGTTTATTCAGCAAGTAATCAAATATTGACAGCCTTTTACGTGCAGGGACACAGGATGAAACAAAACTTGCAAGATATTTTCTTTTTTTCCTTTTTTTTTGTCTTTTTTTTGTGTCCGGCAACGGATCACAACCCTCGGTGCTGCGCCCGCACCTCGCGGGAACCGGTCTGTATGTGGGATCCAAACCCTCTGCGGGAGCGCACGCCGGCCCAAGATATTTTCTATCTGTGACCTTATATTCTAGGGAGCGGATACATGTACAAGTAAACAAATCATTGTATCAGGCAATTTTAGACAGTGATAATTAACTCAATAGCTACCCTCTGTGTTTGGACTGTATACTGTCTTCGTTAGCTCCAGTTTGCTAGAGTCTGGCAGCTGAATAAGTTCAATACAATATTTTTTCACTGTTAAAATAGACATATAAAAGACAGAAATGGAAAAAAAAACTGAGACTACTTCCATAAATGGCTGATCTTGAGATTCCCCCTTTTCTCTTTAAAAACTTTCTGTAATACTATATATTTTTTTATAATTAAGACAATTAAAATGTAAGCAAAAAATCACCAGTTGGAGTAAAAGAACCCCAAAGAAACATTTATGTCACCAACACTCGTTAAGGACCTGGTAATAAAACGTTCCCTGAAATACTCAGATGGGTTGGTTGAGAGGATAAAACTCCCTTGACGCATTACCAAATAGGCTCCCAGCCTTCAGCAGTATAACTGACCGTTTAAAACGACGAGGCCTTAAGCACCCAAGATATGATCCCTTCAATTTTCCGATTTCTAAAGCGCTTCAGATTCTCCATCCACCCACACGATGTGGCAGCGAAAAACGGCAATTTTATTTACACTTCAATGGTAATGAGAAAACAATTTTTTTTTCAAGGTTAACAAAAAATCCAAGATCTTCGCAGAACAGATCACCAGCCCCTCCCCAACAAATCCTTCCACAAGCTCTAGAGACTAGTAAGGTAGGATAAAACCTGGTAGCTCTCCTTACACCCGCCAGCCACCAAACAAAACCAAACCAAACCAAACCACCAGACTGCTCTACGTACGGTCAGAACATCAGACCGACAGAACCCTACCCCCAAGCGCACAGCTCAGCCGCTGTCTTCCCAGGGGCGCATGCGCAGCGCACTCTCCGGCCACCACACACCAGTTCCAGCCAGCCCAGGAGGGGCTTACGTCACCGTGTCGGGGCTGAGGAACCCTTCCGCTGTCCCGAGGAAAGAGAGTGCGCCCACCTTTAAGTTTTTTTAGCCCGCAGAAAATGCCCTTCCTCCTTCCACCCCAGTACCAACGACTTTCCCAGCCCTTCTTCCAACATCCCACCTTTTGGCGTACTTCTTTGTATGTTTGTTGGACGGGGAAAGACAGCAAAGAGGAAAAAGAGTGAGGGCTAGAAACCAGTTCGGAGTTGTTTACAAGGAGTGCGCGAGTCCAGGATCGATCCGCGAGGGCGGAGCCGAGAAAGCCGGCACTTCTTCCTCTTTCCCTCCCTCCCCCGCTTTCCCCGCGAGCGGACGCGGCAGCGCCTCTGTCTCGCTTTTTCTTATTTTCCCCCTTTCCCCCCTTCCTTTTTTTTTTCTTTTTCTTTTTTTCCCCCTTCCCCCCCTTTCACCATTTCCCCTCGGAGGCGCTTCCCCCGGGCAGGGGCAGAGCCGGTCTCACCCCCCGCCTCTCCCCGGCCCCCGCCGCCCTATGGCGAGAGGGAGCCCCCTCCCCACCCGGGCACAAACGGCAGCGGTTGGAGGAGCGGGACCGGCGGTGGCGGCGGCGGCTTCAGGTCCGGGGTCATCATGAAACTAATTCGTTGATCGACGCCTTGGCCGCGGCCGTGCGTCCCGCTCGAGCGCCCGCGCACCTCCCCGGCCCGGTTCCACCTCTTCGCCTTCTTCTGTCGGCCCCTTCTTCGTCCCGCGCGCCCTGCCGCCGCGCGCTGAGGAAAATGAGGTGGTAACGGGCCTCCGGATGACCCCGCGCCACCACTGTGAGGCCTACAGCTCTGCCGGGGAGGAGGAGGAGGAGGAAGAGGAGGAGAAGGTGAGGGGCGGGGGCGGGGGGCTCGACGCGTCTCCGAGACCGGCGCCCGCGCGCGCCGCCCCGCCGCTCCCCCCGCGCCGCCCAAATGGAAGCGCCCGTGTCGCGGGCTCTTCCCCAGAGAACCGCCCCCTGGCGTCCCCCTCCCGAGGAAACCTAAGGGACGCCCCCCTCGCCCTCTCCGCCAGAAACAACTCGGTACCTGCCCAGTTTGAAAACTGGCTCTGCTGTTTCCATTTCAGTCCAATTTTTATGTCAGCCAGTAACTTTTTTGTAGCAACAGCAAATTATCTTCTCTGTAGTGCGTGTTCTAGGCTCAGTGAGCTCGTGTTAATACACAAAGAAGGGGACACATCCCCACCCTCAAGCTCGAACGATCCTACAGTGACTACGGGAAGATAACTTACATTGTAAAGCAGAGTGAATGTCAAACGATTGGGGTGAACCGCCTGTGCGACGGAAATTCGCAGGAGGGGAACGTTACCCAGTCGTCGGTGGGTGGAGGAAACTAGAGGAGGTGAGATTTGAGTTGCACCCTGAAAGGCAGATAAAGATACCAGGAGTTTGAAAGGAGGAGCTAGGGGTTCCGTTGCAGATCATTTTGGCAGGAGTTGAGAATCGGGTAGCACATAGTAGAAGGTATCTCCAAGGAGGTAGGATGGATTCAGACTAAAAGTCTTTGAATGTCAAGCTAAAATATTTAGATTTTATTCTGTCGGAGGAAAGCCACTCAACGTTTGAACAGCCAGAATATGACTTTAGTGATATTAACAAGAACAACACTCGATGAGGCTTATTACCTGCCAGGTACAGTTCTAAATGGTTTGCAACTCATTCAGTCCTCACAAGGACTGGTTGAGGCAGGTAGCAGGAACCTCATTTTACAGATGAGGAAAACAGACGCCACAAGATTAGCTTTCCCATTAGATAACACAGCTAGAACCCGTGGCCAGAATTCCAGTCTTACTCTTCTATGCTATATGATCTCTGTCCTGAAAATGAATTTATTGAAAAAATTAACAGTAGTGTTAACTGTTTCTAGCTTTCCCAGGTCATTTATGGCAAAAGAAGTAGAAAGGAATGGGCAAATAGATAAAGAATGGACAGGATTTAGATTGGCTGATCTGGGACCAGAGGGATGAGACATTCTGAGCTCCTAGAGTAGGAGAAGTTTCTTAATACTGATAAAGGGCAGGCTAGTAGAGACAATCAGCATGTGTTGGGAAGGTACAGTAAGTATGATCTTCAGTTATAGATAATGAGTTTCTGTGGTAGTGTGACATCCTAGTAGATTAGAATGGAATTCTAGAATGTGTCAAGATTGGAAGCTGACACATTCATGTTTTATTCTCATTGTGTAATACTTTACAAATGAAGAGTATTCACTTTTCTGTGCATGTTTCATGTTTAAAATGTGCTTAATACCACCTTCATAAGGTGTGAGAATTACATGAGGTAATATGGCATAGCACTTTGAACATTAGCTAGCCAAGTAGTAAGCGGTCAATGCTTTTACTTGTTAAGCACTTATCGAGTGTAAGTTTTCATTATTTATTAGGCATAATGCTAAACTCTGGAGATTGTTTGCCATCAGGGAACCCTGACTAATAGGAGAGGCAGGTCTACAAATAATCATCATGGAGCAATTAAGTGCAAAAGTAGAATTATGTTCAAGTACAGATGGAGGAACTTAGGGCACAACTACACAATTCCAGAGAGTACTAGTCACAGACTGATAGCAACATTAGGAAAGAGTGAACTAGAGAAGCACATTTCAAGTTGAAAGAACAGTGTGAAAGAGCACACTGTTCTGAAATTAAAAGTACCTGTAGTTTGTTATTGCTTGCGCATAAAGTCAAGGAGAGAGCAGTAGATGAGGTTCTTGTATGATCACGTTAATAAATTTCTCCTTTCAGAAGAACTAAGATCCAGAAGTCAGCACCAGTACAGGAATTATTAATAGAGTTGGCATTATGTTGGTAATAAGCGCAATAATTACATATTAATGAAGTTGTTTATATTATATACCCAGCAGCAGCACTTTTCCTCAGAAGAGTAGGAGGCCCTGTATGTATTTGTAATATATGCTGTGCAATAAGCATTTCACAAACTATTGACATTAAGCTATTTGATAAGCATGAAAAAAGGAGTAGAATAAGCAATTGAGAGAATGGGTAGAGAAATGGGAAAATATCATAAGGTTAAATGTGTGTGGAATATGCCAACCAAAATATAGTCTTTTTGTTTTTTAGTTCCTAGAGACACTTTTAAAAAGCATTCAAAACTGGATGTGACCAACAACAGGCATACAATAACAAGATATAACTGTAAGGTTCTGTTATTTAAAATAGTAAAATTGTATTTTAAGTTTGTATGTAATGAAGGAAAATAAAACCAGTTCAAATTTCCTTAAACTTTAAAAAATTAGACATAAATAATGCAAGTAAAAGGCAAACAGGATGGAGGGTACCTGGGTGTTCCAGATTAAATGAGGCTACAGAAAAATGAAAGTGCAATACCTAAACCTCTATTGGATCCTGTAAAGGTCATTATTGGGTCAGATGACATAATTGGAATATGGACAGTAGATTACATAAAAATGTATCAATGCTAAATTTACCAAAATTAAGAACTTTATTGTGATTCTGTAAGAGAATATCCCTATTAGGAAATATACATTGAAAAAATTTAAGAGTAAAGGATCATAATATATGCAACTTACACACAGAGAAGAAAAGATTAAAACAAATGGGTAAAATGTTAACATAGGTGAACCTGGGTAAAGGATTGAAATTTGAAATTATTTAAAAATAAAGCCTGTTACACTTCCGTAGTATGAGCAGACATTGATTCCTGTGTTTTTTTCTTTTGATGTGGTACATTAATTGATTCCAGAATGTTAAACCAACCTTGCATTCCTGGGACAAATCCCACTTGGTTATGGTGAATAATCCTTTTTTAAAAAATTTTGCTGGATTTAGTTTGCTAGTATTGTGTTGAGGTATTTTGCATCTATATTCAGAAGAGATACTAGTCTGTAGTTTTCTAGTGATGTCTGTCTGATTTTGATAGCAGGGTAATAACTGGCATCATAGAATGAGTTGGGAAGATTTTCTCTTGGAAGAGTTCGTGAAGAATTGGTATTTTTCTGTAAATGTTTAGTAGACCTAACCAGTGGAGCCATGTGCCATGATTTTTCTTAATACTAACTAAATCTCTTTACTTTTTATATGGGTATTCAGCTTTTCTATTTCTTAAGTAAGTTTTGGTAGTTTGTGTTTCTAGGAATTTGTCCATTTCATCTAAATTGTCCAATTTGCATACAGTTGTTCATAAAATTCCATTACGGTTCTTTTTATTTCTGTGTGGTAGGTAGTAATGTCCCCTTTTTATTCCTGATTTTGGTAATTTATCTTCTCTGTGTTTTTTTTTTTTTTTTTTTTTTGGTTAGCCTAGCTGACAGTTTTTTAAAGAACCGCTTTTGGTTTCATTGACTTTTCTCTATTTTTGTGTTCTCTACTTCATTAATTACCACTCTAATATATATTATTTTTTGCTTCTGGCTTGCTTTAGGTATAGTTTGCTCTTTTTCCATTGTTTTAAAGTGGAAGACTAGGCTATTGATTTGAGATCTTTTCTAATATAGGCGTTTTTAGGTATTAATTTATCTCTAAGCACTGCTTTAGTTGCATTCTGTAAGTTTTGGTATGTCTTCATTTTTACTCACCTCAAAGTATTTTCTAATTTCCCTTGTGATTTCTTCTTTGAGCAGATTTCTTTGGGGTTTTTGTTTGTTTGTTTAAAATTGTTAAACCATCTAAATATTTGAAAGTCTTACTAAGGGCCATAATTATAGGAGATTGCAGAACAAGAATCCCTTGAACCCTATCTTATTCCTCTTTACATGATTCTATCTTATATGTCCTTCTCTGTTCCTATTTGTACCTTCTAAAAATAATCTTCAAAGGAAGCCTTGTAAGGGAAAAGTCATCACAAGTGGCAGCTAGTCATTGGGGTTGTTGAGAAGGCTAGTGGATCCTGGTTAGCCACTCTGTTGAATGTAGCTAATGGCATGAAAGAATTATTTAAGTTTGAGGCTTTTGACAAGAGTTCATTAATTACAGACTAAAATTAGATTTGGAAAAAACCTTAGAACTTATGAACTCTAACGTTTATCCAATATAGGTATTTCTTCTAAATATCTTTTGACAGATGGTCATCTAGCTTATACTTTATTTCTATTTATGTTTGCTTTAGATGAAATTATAGTTAGCCTGCTCATCAAATTGTGGCAAAACCTGAGAAAAGTAGTAAGGCAACAAAATTGGAATCTGAGAACATCTCAGCAGAATACAGCAGTGGATGGAATCTAACAAGGTGACTTTTTTTTTTTTTAAGAAAGAATACATTTAAGGTTCTCTCAACCCCAAAGCACCAAAACCCCACACACAATGGGTGTGGCAAGTGGAAGTGGAGTTGGCCTAACAATGTACCTGAGAAAGTCTTAAGAGTTTTAGTTGACCGTAAAAATTTTATCTGAATTGATAATGTGTGACCTTCAAAAAAATGGCTGATGATTTTAGACTGAATTTATAGCAAAACTCATTCTAATTTAGAAGAACCAAAGTGTCATGTGAGGAAACCATTGAACAGTTTTTCAGCTATGAAAAAGATCAGCGAGCGTGATAGCAGACTTCAAACATTTGAAGGATTGGTTCTTTCAAGAGAGATTAGTCTTGGGTTTGTTTGTTTTGTTTTGGGCTATATGTTTTCTAATTTGGCCCCAGTGGTTGAAACTGGAACCACTGGTTAGTCTCTCTTTCATCAGAGTTCTTTGCTGTGGGCACAGTGAGTGATAAAAACATGATATTGGTAGATGTGACCTCAAAGGAATTTATAATTTAGTTGGAGAGATAGTGGAAAGCCACTTTCAGAAGAAAGAAATTGCATCTGATTAGAGAATCAAGAGTTCATGGAAGGTACCTCTGAAATGGGCATTTTAGGATAGGTATTATTTCTTTTCCCTAAGTTATTTACTGTTTTTCTTCTTAGTATGAAAATACTTCATGTTATAGAAAATTTACAAAAACTCAAGAGTTTAAAGAAGCAAAAAGAGGGCCGAGCCCGTGGCACACTTGGGAGAGTGCGGCGCTGGGAGCGCAGCAGCGCTCCCGCTGCGGGTTCGGATCCTATATAGGGATGGCTGGTATGCTCACTGGCTGAGCGCGGTGCGGCCAGTCTCAAAAAAGGACAAAAAAAAAAAAAAAGAAAGAAATAATCCAGTTAACTGTAGGTAGTCTGTATTAAGTTGAGTAGCAAGTAGGTAGAGTATGTGAAGTGATTAATAGGAAAGAAGGATAGTAGCTGGAGTTGAGATAGAATGTGAAAATTAAAGGTTTGTTATTTTTTGTGTTTTTAATTTTCAAATTTTTATCAAAAAATTGGAACTTTTTACGCGTTAATTCTAGACATTTAAAAAAATAATTCTAGACATTTAAAAAAATTCTTAAGTCCCATGAGTCTGAAGCACATAATACAGGTACATAATTGAAAAGGTCAAATATTGGCTTCCAGTCAAGATGGCAGAACAGACAGCCCCCAGCGTCACTCTCTCCCACAAATCAACCAATTTACACACTGTAAAAAACCAACAACAGCCAAGCTGGGGCCGCTAGAGCTCAGGGGAAGAGGAAGAGAGACCTACAGAGTGCATGAAGGCAGGAGAAGCCATGATGAGAGGAAGAAAAAACCTCTCCGACCATTTTGTACCGTGGCTGCTTTAAGTCTCGAGCTGCTAAGTGCATGGAGCAGGAGCCGGCAAAAGCGGCAGCTGTGCTCTTTGGATGAAGTTGCTTGGAGGCAGCAGGGGAAAAGAGGGCCTTGATGGCCTTCAGGCCAGCAAGACCACTAATAGCATTCCCATGGACCCACATAGGAGCGAGGAGCCACAACTGAAAAAAAGGAGCCACTCAAAGGCCGGTGAGTCATCGTAAGGGACTGGTGCACAGCCCATCCCATGGGAAGTGTTTGCAGCATGTGTGGTGAGAGAGACGGGCCCACTGGGGGAACACTGGGGCACAGCAAGGACAGCTGACTGGTACTCCAATCCGTGAAGGACCACCCAGAGGTGACTGGTCAGGAATATAGAATTGCATGGGGTGCAGTTTGATGAAAAGACTCAGACCCAGATCAGAGTTTGTACACAACCCAGGTGCACCGGATCTCTGGAGAGCCAGAAGTACCTGTAAAGTCAACCATTAAAACCTGAGCTGCACAAAAAGCCTTCCCTAGGGAATCAGCAGCAAAGCAGCAATTTAGCTAAACCACACAGCTCAGGTACTGGTCCTCACAGGAAGCTCCCCCATTTTAGAAGTAAGCAAAGGACAAAAAATTAGTTCCAGCCCAGGCACACCGCCAGCACTTCAGGGCCCACCTGGGGACCTGAGGTATGGAGCTGGGGACTGGACTCCTCCTCCGACACCAGGCACACCACCAGCACCAAGGAATATGCCAAAAACATCACCTTCATGTGGGTGGCCCACCACAGCCACCACAATAACCTTGGCTGCCGTGAAAGCAGCTAGATGCCACAACCACCACGCAGATGGTCTGCCAGCCACTGGAGTGCATTGACACAAGGAGAGTCAACAGCAGAGACTAAAGAAAAGAAGAGGATGTCTCTCTCCACAAAGCCCGTATCAGAGTGACAGAAGAAGCCGCTGCTCTATGATAATATTGGGGGACCTGAACGCACCTCTCAGCATTAGACAGATCATCTAGGCAACAAATCAACAGAGTAACTATTACTCTTTCAGAAGGAGAGAAGAAATCTAGGGTAATTGGAGAGGGGGAGGGGGGAGAGATTAGACAAGGAGCATAAAGAATAAGTACAATTTGTAACAATATAAATACTAGTAATATTGATTTGATCAACATGTCAACATTCAACCCCCGAAATATGTATAATCATGATTCAGTAAAAATTTAAAAAAAGAAAAAGTCAAATAGTTATATGAGGTTTATAATGACAGCATTCTCCTGCTGCAGTCCCTTCTCACTCTTTTCTCCCCAGAGATTAACTGCTCTCAACACTTATCTGTCTCTCCTGTTATTTGAGATCACATTTTCAAATAACTTGCCCTACTGCTTTTTTTAATATTTCAGTTTTAGATATTTATTGATTTTATGCTATGAAATGTAAAGATGTGGCTCTCATTCTACCCTCTCCCAACACCCATACTTATATCCCCTCACCCTTCCAACGTAGTTTTACTACAGTGTTAGTTGAAATCTGTTCAGTACTTTTATTATTATTGCTATGTCAGTATTGTGGAATATTAATTATTATATTTACTTTCTTGTGTAACCTATTTTCTGAAGTTAATTACCTTTTTAGTTGCTTAGTTTTCAACAAATCTGTCTTTTCACATTCTTTAGCAGTTTTCAGTCCAATTTTCTCTCCATAGTCAAACCTCTCAAATCTGTAGTTTTCTTTTTTAAAAACCTATCTCAGTCTCTCTTGAACTCTCAGTTGCCCTTGTTGCTCATTTTAGAGCGCTTTCTAGATCTGTACTGTCCAATAGAACTTTCTGCACTGATAGAAATGTTCCTTTTCTGGGCCGGCCCGGTGGCGCACTGCTATCGTATAACTTCGTATATGTATGTACTGAAAAAGTCAGAATGGGTAGGATTTAATGTGATTGATGTAAATTTTTAATGAAGGAAAAAACTTAGTGGCCCTTATTTGATTGAGTAGTTTTGTTGTTTTGGCAGCTGGCCGGTATGGGGACCTGAACCTGTTACCTTGGTGTTATAAGGCTGCACTCTAACCAACTGAGCTAATAGGCCAGCCTGTGATTGATTAGTTTTTTAAGAGGAATGTTTGGGACAACTGCTTCTAAGAATTCCTAGTATAAAAAAGCCAGTGACTTAAAAATTTTTAACAGTTTGACACAGTAATAACATATTTTGATCAGAGTCCAAAAGATTCCATTAATTATATGGTTTTGTTTTTGTTCTTTATACCTGAATTTCAGATTTAAAGTGAGAATGTTTTAGATAACTGATTATTATTGTGCCATTTTAATCTATGATGTTTTAAAGAGCTGTAAAATTCTATATGGCCTTATAACATAATTATTTTGTTTTATGAATTGGTTAATAAGTACCAACATATTTTATATATATATATAATGCTACACTTATTCTATAATTAAATAAAGAACATTGTTTATATTTTATTTTATAGGTAGCTACGTCAAACTGGGTAGCAGGCAGATCCAAAGGATATCATGAAGTTTCCAGGACCTTTGGAAAACCAGAGATTGTCTTTTCTGTTGGAAAAGGCAATCTCTAGGGAAGCCCAGATGTGGAAGGTGAATGTGCCGAAAATGCCTACAAATCGGGTAATGATTTCCCTCTTTACTCTAGATAGATGAGGATTTTTTAGAAATAAGTCTACCACTACCATACATAATAGTATCTTGACAGTACATTGGAGGAGTGTGCACATTAAAGGATATGCTCTATTCTTTATTTGAGAAACCTCTTGGGGGTTTTTTGTTTGTTTTTGTTTTTTTGTTATCTGAGTTACAGCTTTAGAGAGATAGTTTTGTCTGTTCTCTTTCCTCATAGTCTAATACTAACAGTAGTAGGCCTTTATTTTTAGATTTATAGTTAGTCATAGAGGCTGAACATCTTCATACCATTCTCTTTAGTGAACAAAAAAATCATTCTTTCATCAATAATTATAAGGAGTTCAAGCTGAACTGCTAAAATAATGCCAATGTTGGAAACTTCTTGAGAGATAGCCCGCTGACGCTAAAATAATGCCAATGTTGGAAACTTCTTGAGAGATAGCCTGCTGACCCATCAATTACTATTGGCTAAATGCCTTTTATTTATTTATTAAAAAATTTTTTTAATTGATAGGTATTGATTGTACATATTTATGGGGTACAGAATTATATTTCAGTACACTAAAATAATGCCAATGTTGGAAACTTCTTGAGAGATAGCCCGCTGACCCATCAATTACTATTGGCTAAATGCCTTTTATTTATTTATTAAAAATTTTTTTTAATTGATAGGTATTGATTGTACATATTTATGGGGTACAGAATTATATTTCAGTACATGTGTACAATGTATAGTGATCAAATCAGTGTATTTAGCAAATGCATCATTGTAAAAATTTATCATTTTTTGTGATGAGAACATTTAAGCTCCTCTGTTTTAGCCATTTGATAACATACAGTAAATTATTAATTATAGATGCCTATCACTAGTGTACACCAATAGGACTTATTTTTCCTATCTAGCTGTAATTTTGTGTCCATTAACCAACCTCTTCATATCCTCCCACTCCTTTTCCATCTCTAGTAACCAGAGCTCTACTCTGTACTTCCAAAAGTTCAAATTATTATTTTATTTTTTAGCTCCCACATGTGAGTGAGAACATGTGGTATTTCTGTGCCTGGGTATGCCTTTTCTTTTAGAAATTTTTATACTTCTGTCATATCATTATATCGTTGTTTTTAACAAATAACTATAAAGTTTATCCATGCCAAAAGTTTACTGTGTAAGATGTCTTACGTATCTTTTTATCCCTAGTACCTAACTGGTGCATAATGTATAGAATAGTGGCCAAGAAATTTTTTATATGCGTGGGTGAATGAATGTTATTTTGTGCTCATAGGCTGTTGAAATCTGTATGCTTTTTCTTTTTCTTTTTTTTTCCTTTTTTGTGACCGGTAAGGGGATCGTAACCCTTGGCTTGGTGTCGCCCGTACCGCGCTCAGCCAGTGAGCGCACCGGCCAGTCCTATATAAGATCCAAACCCATGCCGCACTCTCCCGCATGAGCCACGGGGTTGGCCCCTGTATGCTTTTTCTAATTCCACCCTACTTCTTATCATTCTTTCCCACAAGCTGATAAAATATGTTCTGCATTTACTGTTACTTATTTGTCATTTTTCAAATTGAAGATTAGTTAACCTGAATGAGTACTTTCTGTGCTAGGAGCATTTATGTGTGCTATCTTATTTAATATCTCATTTAATCCTTCAAAATAGGCAGTAGTCCCAATTTGCTTAAGACTTTAGCTTATGAATAATTGAGTTATAATTTGAACCTTTCTCATTCTTTGTTTTTAGTTTTTTATTTTTGTGTGCACGTGTGATTTTTTTAGATTACTTGAGGATTCAATCATTCAGCAAGTGATTATTGAGTATCTCCTATATTCCAGGCACTATTCTAGGCACTGGGAATACAAGAGTGGGGAAAAAGAAAATTCCTTCCTTTATGTTTTGACGCTCTAGTGCTCCTCAAAGCTTTTTTACAGCTGCTTTTAGAACCATTCCTTTCTTCTTTCTGCTATCTCTTTGAGTCAGTATGTAAACAATAATGATATGCATTTACAATATGGTCTTTGAAGGTGATATTCTACCAAGATTGCAGTAGATTGCTATATTACCACTTAAATCAGGTCTATTTCTATAGGTGATTTAATATTGGTGAGGTAATACCAGAGAACAGAACTGTGTGAGAACTTTTAAGAAGGACCCCCCTTCCTAAGGATTTGTCTTTAGTAATGCCAAGTAGAAGCTATACTTAATACTTGTAAAATTTGTGTGTGCTTCGTTTGGTGGGGGTAGGTGTAAATAGTAATAGGGGCTTGAACCACTTGCCAGAGTAACCACCAGGGACACTTCTCTATTCTAGTTCTAATTCCTTTATTTCCTTCTACTCTCAGAGACTGGCTTTTCTACTTCCTTTTCTAATTTTTTTTTTAAGACTTTATTTTTTTAAGAGTAATTTCAGGTTCACAGCAAAATTCAGAGGAAGGCACAAAGATATATACCTGGGGCTTTCATTATTTTATTTGTTCTTTATTTTGGATAGATGGGAATAAAATTAAGCACAGAAATTACTTTTTGTAAATGCTGTCCTGGTAATATTACTGTTTAGTACACTTTTGAATTGATTTGGAAAAGTGATCTTAGAGTCAGTATTACTTAGTAAGAATGAGTCTTCTCAAACTATTAACTTTTGGGTTTTTTTGTTACTGCTAGTTTTAGCTAATGATGATAACACTAGGCCAAATAGGGATTTCTTGGCCCTGTTCTTAAATTTTAGTATAAGGTATATTAAAGTTCAAAGATACCATCATGATGTTTTTCATGACTAATTGTATAATGTTTAAATGTATAATGTAATTGAATAATATTTAAATTGTATGTTTAAAAGAATTATATATTATAACATTTTATAAATTTGTTTTTTCTGATATCATTAGAGAATCAGGTAGTTTAGAGGTAAGAAAGGAGAAAACATATATTTGAGTGCCTTTTGCATTCTGTACATGTTCTTTACATAAGTTATATCATTTAGTTTTCATAAAACTATGATACGGTAATCTCCATATAACTGTTCCTTTCTGTTATATATCATGTTTTGTGATATTTCTTATATATGTTTGTGTTATTTAATGTCAAACACCAAATAATGACATTTTTTAATATAATCTGTCATTCAAAGTTGTTTTCTCTCTCATAACCCCCATTGTGTCTGTGACCTAAAGGTGGAGTTAGGTGGTTTTCTTGTTCCTCATTGCTAGTCTGTATTATTGTTCCTTTTATCTCCCTAAAAGCCCTCCCCAGTTTCATCACATATCATCGCCTCCCTCTCCATGTGTGAATTTATTTCTTCATTGTTGATTTATTTGTCTGGGTTACTTAACTTTACTTTTCCTTATTTGTTTTGGTATTTTAGATAAAAGCTTATCTTGGTAGGAATTTAATTTCTCTTGAATGGTTAATTCTCTCCATCTAGAAGTTTTTTGACTGCCTTCACTTGGTTCTCAGGGACCTGTTGTGGGAAGTTATGTGTTCCCCACAACACTAGAGTAAGCCAAGAGGCAGGAAAGAAGAAATTCCAAATAAAATTTCTGTTTTGATGGGCCGGCCCGGTGGCGCACTGGATAGTGCGCCGCTTGGGAAGTGACAACCCTCGGTGTCACACCCGCACCGCACTCAACCAGTGAGCGGACTGGTCTCTATATGTGATCCGAACCCTTGGCGGGAGCGCCGCCGTGCTCCCAAGTGCCGCAGTCTACCGAGTGCGCCACCGGGCCAGCCCACTGTTTAGTTTTTTTTTTTTTAAATGGGTTGTTACTCTATAATCATAGTCTGTTTATATTTCCTAAGATTATGTCACACCCGCACCGCACTCAACCAGTGAGCGGACCGGTCTCTATATGTGATCCGAACCCTTGGTGGGAGCGCCGCCGTGCTCCCAAGTGCCGCAGTCTACCAAGTGCGCCACCGGGCCAGCCCACTGTTTAGTTTTTTTTTTTTAAATGGGTTGTTACTCTATAATCATAGTCTGTTTATATTTCCTAAGATAAGTTAATGGCTATTTGCTGCCTTTGAAAGAAATTCACTATATTTTCTTATTCTCAAAAATTGGGAAAACTTAATTCCAAAATTACTATCAGATCATAATAGAGTTACTTAAACTTTAAAATGTTATATTCCCTGAACACTTCAACTTAATTAAACTGTAGATATTTGGTGAGACGATATAGTAAAGATTTTAATAAAGAGTAAGAGAATATTAGATATTGATATTAATTGCGATAACCAGTACATAGTTTTATCTTCATCTATCACAAGTTTGATAGATTTTGAATAACCTTAAAAACATTTTTTAACATATAAACATATTTTTTGTAGTATTGCTAACCTTTCATGAGGGAGAATTCTAATTAATTAAACTGTAGATATTTGGTGAGACGATATAGTAAAGATTTTAATAAAGAGTAAGAGAATATTAGATATTGATATTAATTGTGATAACCAGTACATAGTTTTATCTTCATCTATCACAAGTTTGATAGATTTTGAATCACCTTAAAAACATTTTTTAACATATAAACATATTTTTTGTAGTATTGCTAACCTTTCATGAGGGAGAATTCTAAAACATATTCTTGATGATAACTTGAAGCCTTGTCTTTTAATTTATTTTTTAATCGTTCTCTTATAGAATGTTTCTCCATCCCAGAGAGATGAAGTAATCCAGTGGCTGGCCAAACTCAAGTACCAGTTCAACCTTTATCCAGAAACATTTGCTCTGGCTAGTAGTCTTTTGGACAGGTTTTTAGCTACTGTAAAGGTAAATATTTTAAGATAAATTTGCACATAACATCTCAAGGGTTTACATGCTAAACCAGAGGTTATTAGTGAACATTCTATAAAATAGAAAGAAGTGGAGGACTTTCCTGGAGAATGATGTATATACACATAAGAAGACATGGTGTCTTTTGCTGTTGTTTTAAATTTTTGGAAGTGTTTCTAATTGTATTCTGTGATTTTCTTTCTTTTTGCTATAAGTATTCATAACTTATACTTAGCTTAATGAAATTTTTTATCTCTTGATCTTAGTATGGATCACATAGCATTGGCAGAATCTTTAGCCATCTTTTAACATTGGTATAATAGAGGTGGACAATGAATCAGACTAGAAAAGTATAAGCACATTTTTCTCTGTTGCTGCTTATTTATTGAGTATCCATACTATGTGATTTTCTGAACAATAAAAACCTTCTAGGAACATAACTTTGGAATATAACAAGATGTCATAAAACAGCTTTGGTATATTTTTGTTGAATGGCAGCATACAAATATATTAATAAGTTTTATATTGTCCCTATTGGTATAATGTATCATTGGTTATGTTAGATTGGTCATAGTAGGCCCTCAACAGATTTAAAGCAAAAAGTCAGCACTTGTATGGCAAGGCATGAAAGAGTAGAAAAGCAGTTCAACTGTAGTCATTTGTATGCCTGTGAATATGTAAACAGGGGAACTGTGAATTAAATGCTTTGTTATTAGGTATAAAAAATAGAAGACAAAGAATTATGGAGTGTAAGAATTTGGATAGCCACTCAGTTACCTTTTTGTTTCAAACTTGTATTCTTAAGAGGCTTAAAGAACTCTTAATTTTAATGATGCTTATTCCCTGAGCTCTGGTAATTTAAAATGCCTACTTTTATCTCAGCAACAAGTTCCCCACCTTCTTCCCTCTCCCTCCTCCACAACTAATCACAGATAATTATCACAGATAATTTCATAGGAAAATGAGTTTAAGTTTATTGTCCTTCCTTGGGTTGTATATTCTTCAAAAATTTTTAATGTACTTGTTATAGTAGCTTCTCTTATAAAAAGAGATTCTTACCATGTTTATTAAACATTTTTAACAAATTTGGGAAATTTCTGGAAAGAATTAGAGAATTTTGCCAAATATAATCCCATTTTTTAATATTTCTTATTTATTGGGTCCTGTCATGTTTACTAACGTCAGATACCCTAACTTAGGGATAGTTAATCTTTATTGAAACAATTAATCTAAAATGTATTTGTAGTTTAAATAAAGGCTCTTAAAGCAAACCATAAAAGGGTTACAACAATGAATGGAGCTTCAATCCTAGCTGTGCAGAAGAAATCACTGTGAAGCTCTTTTAGAAGTATGGAACCTGAGCCCTATTTCAGACCTACTGAATCTGAATTTTTAGTAGGTGAGATCTGATTGTTTGTATTTAAAGAAGCAAAAACAACTGTATGGATGATTCTAAAATTACAACCAGAATTGAGAACTACTGGGTTTTTTTGTTTGTTTTTTTAATCACGCATTTGGTGTTGGGATTCTTTTTACCACTAAATTCATTGTTGGTGCCTTTGATTATATGGGTTGTATTGCTTACCCAAAGTTGTTAACTGTTAGGCTGTTTTCTTTGTAATGAACTGAGATTGCTTCAGAGATGTGGGTTTTATATATTGCATATGTGGAGAAATTAGGGAGCTTGGAAAACTGTTATAGCAGCAAGATATGACTTGACTTCCTAGATCACCTTTGTGGTGTCCCTTAACTGCTGAGACTGTTTTCACACCTGTAAGGTGAAGACATAACAGACATGATACTATTTATGGAAGTGCCTTCTAAATCATAATGCTCTGATTAATATTAATAGTTATTTTAAAATATTGATGGTATTGAACCAGCTTTTATTTCTCATGTTGTTAGAGGATTGGAAGATTCCTAAACTGTATGCCACTTATACTAAGGCATTGTTTAATAAATGATAAGCTAATTAATCAAGGACATATTCTGGTCATTAGAAGGCATCCTCAATTTCATGGGAATGTGATATTTAAGTATAAGATAAATGTTGGAACAGGTTTTATTTTGTGTGTGTGTGTGTTACCTGACATACCCCTCTGTGTCATTCAATATAATTGAACTAAATTGTTGAAACCGGATTCTGGTGCTGCATTGGCAAACACTCTGAAAGTGGGCCTACTTTATTATAGACAGGAAAACAGGCAAATTCAAGCCTTCCCATGTGTGTCAAACCCAAGAAGTTAATGTTTTTCCACTAATTAATTTTGTATGGATTTAAAACTTTTTGATTCTTTTTTTTTTTAAAGATGACCGGTAAGGGGATCTTAACCCTTGACTTGGTGTTGTCAGCACCACACTCACCTAGTGAGCAAACCGGCCATCCCTATATGGGATCCGAACCCGTGGCCTTGGTGTTATCCAGCACCGCACTCTCCCGAGTGAGCCACAGGCCGGCCCAAGACTTTTTGATTCTTATCATGGAACTTGAATATAGGTTTGTGAGGATGTGTGTGGACACTTAATAATTACAAAATTTCTGCACATCTGCTGGCATCCTATACTCCAATACTTTTTTAAAGCATTTGAATACTAATAGTCTTACTTTTATATTCTTCTCTTTCTCTTTAATTCCCCTAACACCTAGTATGTTATCTTACTGATATTTTGTTTAGACAGATAAAGGGACTAAAACTAGCTGAAAAAATATGTATACACACACATAAAAGTATGTTTTTAAATTTGGGGAACATTATTTATTAATGAAAGCTTATCTTCTGAAATCAAGCTCTTCTCTGCTTGATAGAAATTAACTTTGGCCTACTGGCTTTGGTCAAACTTCAAGCAATGGAATGATCTTCCTATTTCCATAGAGTATCACATGGCTAGGGTTGTGATATTAAAAGTTAGCCCCAATCTAAAAAAGCAGTGGGTGGGAATCAAATTTACTGAATTCCATGGAATTGTATGTATATTTATCTGCATATCTAGTTTTTAAAAATTCGTAAAAAGTTAATAAACTTTTTGAAAAAAATCACTAAAGTTACTTTTTCTTTTTTTCCTCTTCAAAACTTTAGGCCCACCCAAAATATCTGAGTTGTATTGCAATCAGCTGTTTTTTCTTAGCCGCCAAGACTGTTGAGGAGGATGAGGTAATAAATCCTTTTAAGATTAGTTATGTTTATTTTTTGAAAATTTCTGTCCATTTATTAAACTCGCTTTTTGTTTGCCAAAACAAAAGTTGAAAATGATTTTAATTTTTTTCTGCCCTCTCCTCGGATAGAGAATTCCAGTACTGAAAGTATTGGCAAGAGACAGTTTCTGTGGATGTTCCTCATCTGAAATTTTGAGAATGGAGAGAATTATTCTGGATAAGTTGAATTGGGATCTTCACACAGCCACACCATTGGATTTTCTTCACATTGTAAATATCCCTGAAATCTTTTAGTTTCTTATTTGAATATGTAGTCCTGTTTCAGTAACTTGAAAAAATAGACTGCCCACATAATTATTTTGTATTGGTTTGTAGGAAAGAAAAAATATTGAAGTTAGCCAACAAAAAAATAGAAATTGCTAAAATTAGCAAACTTAGAAATTGAGTAATCCCTAAGTAGGTTATGTCAACTTTTATACAAAATTTTTTAGATATTTAAGTAAAATTAAAATGATGTTCTTGTGATTTTCAGTTCCATGCCATTGCAGTGGCAACAAGGCCCCAGTTACTTTTCAGTTTGCCCAAACTGAGCCCATCGCAACATTTGGCAGTCCTTACCAAGCAACTCCTTCACTGTATGGCCTGCAACCAACTTCTGCAGTTCAAAGGATCCATGCTTGCTCTGGCCATGGTTAGTCTGGAAATGGAGAAACTTATTCCTGACTGGCTTCCTCTTACAATTGAACTGCTTCAGAAAGCACAGGTAGGTGTCAGTCTAATTAAATAGTGTTCATTTTAAGTTTTTCCTCTTACTGGAATACATACAGTTATCAGATGGTTATAAAACTGAGACATTTCTAATATTGTAACCATTCTTAAGAGTAGACAAGAGTCAAGTATTATACACCTTAAATTTACAGGCTTTTTTTCTTTTTATCTGTTAAAAAGGATAATGATCAGAGCAGTATGTTAGCTTGAGCTCTACTTATGTAGTGTGACGCAGGCTGCTTGCTTCTCCTTTACAAGGGAGATATGTTCTTTTAATAACTTATCTTAGATTAAAATAATTTAGAGAAGTGTTTGCTCCCATTGAAATAAATGCTGTAATGAAAATAAATCCTAGTAGTTGCTATGGTGGTGAGAATTTTTTTTTTTTTTTTTTAAAGATGACCAGTAAGGGGATCTTAACCCTTGACTTGGTGTTGTCAGCACCATGCTCACCCAGTGAGCGAACCGGCCATCCCTATATGGGATCCGAACCCGGGGCCTTGGTGTTATCAGCACCGCACTCTCCTGAGTGAGCCACGGGCCGGCCCCGATAATTTTTAGAAATATCATAAACCACCATATAATGAACAGTGTGGCACAGAAAATTTACTCTGCCTACCTGGAGTGTTAGAAAGTAAAGTTGAATATTAATCATTCACATTAGACTGTGAAGTGGAGCAACAGGAATTAATAGAAAACCTCCTACATTTTTTTTTTATTGGAAAAATGACATATCTCTAAATACCTCGTGACTTGGTCTCTGTGCCTATTCCCAAGTTAGTACAGAATCAATTTGCTTTATAAAGTGTTAGTGTCACAAAGAAAAGTCAGATTTTGAAGCATAAATAATAATGTTGTGAATAACATGTGTATTATGTAGCTTTGAGAGCTTGTTCTCTACTGAAGAACACCAGAGAATCTTCTGATTCTCTTTCATAAATTTTCTGGTGCTAGAAGAAAAAAGCATTCACTGAAACTTGTTTTCCTCCTAACTGAAGAAATATTGTAAACTTGGGAATTGACAGAGTCTTCATAGAAATCCTTTCATTCAGCTCCTTTATTTTATAGCTCCAGTTCAGGGAACTTGGGGCATTCTCAGAGCCATGTAGAACTTAGTAGTGAAGACAACTTAAAAGAACTGGTGCTTTTTCTATGCTACACAAACCTTAAAGATTCGAGTCCAGTGCTTTTTAGTTTCTTTTAGAAGTGTAACCCTTTCCCTGCCCTCCTTCCTCCAACAAAATCTTGTACACATACAGTCCCAAAACACAGAGTAGAAAAGTGGAGCTATACTTTGTAATATGTGTTTATGGTGGAGACCTATCCTGGGCAGCATCCTACTCAACATGGCCTTTTCCCTTCCATAAGCTGTTTGGACATAGTTTGAAAACCACCGTTCATTTTCTCATATACATAATTAATAGTTACATTCTACAAATACTTATTGAGAAATCTGTGATCTACACACTGGGGATTCAGTGATTTTTTTTTTTTTTTTTTTTTTTTAAGGTCTCTGCCCCATGTAGTATCCAAGTTACAAAGGGGAAGATAGTGAACAAAAACAAATAAGATCACAAAACTTGGTAGAGACTTTGGGACTTGGTCTAGTAGTTCTTCTACTCTTAAACCAACCTTGAACTGATGACCAATCCTTGTGGCTCAAACATAGATGGCTCCTGGTTCTTCAGGACTCAGTTCTGTCTTTGCAAAGTTCACCTGTGTTCAGGTAGGAACACCAGGTCTAATATCTTTGTAATTAGACCTGTGACAAGGCCATACTAATATCAGATACTCCTCCTGGATTTCTGGTTCAGTACAGGAAATTCTTGCATCAGATCAGTTGAGATCATGCCAGAATTACTTCTGACATAATTCCCAGTGTCTTAGTTTGAGGAGGGTTTGTTGCAGACATTTTGTGTTGTGAGGAACACTGCCTGTGCCACCACACACCTGGACTTGACAAAGTGTGGTGAGTGTTCCCTGGTTTGAAAAGTAAGCTTCCCCTTGTCTCTCTTAGCCTCTCCCCTACTCCTCCTACCTCCTTGAGCTCTTGTGCTACCTGTTGGTCACGATTCTGGGATGACGAAAGCTTTTTCTTCCCACCCCTTCTTCTACCCTTGCCCTACTTATGTGGCTATGCTCACATCCTCCTTTTTCTGACTGACGTGGCCTACCCTGATAATCTCAGGGTGTTAACTCTGCCTAGATTGTGTAGTGGTCTCCCTAGTTTCTAGCTGGGCAGTAGTCAAAGTAGATGTTTTAAATTAAAACTAGAGTAGGCAGTTAACGAAGTAGACCCTGCCCACCAAGGTCTCCTGGTTCTTTTTGAAGGTGCCTATGGTCAGACTACTCTTGCATGTATTTTCAGTGCTTCATTTTGCCCACCAAACCTGGATCCATCTGGACTGTCACTAAGGTCATGCTATTCTGCTCTCTCTTCTCATCTCCACCCCCTTGGAGAGCTCAGTTACAATTTTGTTTGTTTTTGTAGCAAGGGATACTTAGAAATGGTCATCATATTTAAATTTGGGGGGAGATAGTCATGAAAAAGAACAATATGTGTTCTCTTGACACACCCTGTAATTAAGAGTTCATTTATCCTTTTAACAGAGCTCCATTAAAAGATTTGTTTGGTGTCTAGAGATATGGTAACTCCAGTATGTGCTTGTTTTCTTCCACTGGATCTCAACAAGGATCAAATTATTTCATTTTCTTAGAACAAATTCAGATTGTACTAGATTAAAAGGAATTTATTTTGATGTGTTATTTGGACAAAGGACTTACTTGGGACTTGGGTAGAAGAGGAGTTCATATAAATCTAATGTCCTTTCTAGTCTATCATTTTCTGCCAGTCTTCACCTCTGAAATATAATTCCCTATTTACTTAATTTTTTTCACATAGAAAGATTATGGTGACACAAGTAGTCTTCTTCCTTTTACTTAAATATGTTTTTTTTTTTAGGATTCTACCATGGTATTTATTATGCTCAGTGAATAAGATATTAGAATATTTGTGGTACTTTCACTTTTCTAGGCCACTAAGAATCATACAGTTGCTGAAGAACAGTTCATTAGACTAGGTAGTTACTTTTTAGAAATAATTTCTGTACTATAGCCTTCTTTTCATTTCCCAATTTCTGTCTTTCATTTCTATTACCTCTCTTTTGTAGGCTTCTTGAAGTAGTGGCAGAAACCCCATTCCTTCTTTTGTGCTTTGTTCCACTGTTCTTAGCATCGTTCAGCTTGTTCTGCATCCCCAGGGCATATAATAAGACCTATAGACTACAGTAGTAAGCTTGATAGTTGGGGGACTATCTTAAGTACAAGGTTACATCAAAAAGATCATGGAAAAATAGAATTGAAAGATAATACAAATTTTTCCATTAATAAAATACCGTTGTTATATATCATTTTTTTCTTCTGAGGGAGGAAAAAAATTATAATAGTAGTTAATAGTGTCTTACCCATAGTGTGTTACCTAGTGCCTTTAAAACTTGGGGGGGAATCAGTGGACAAAGTGGCAAATATTAAAATCTGGTATTTTCATATACTATTTCTGACAGTTTCAGGTATTTTAACATTTGTACTATATGGTAACAAGCTACCAGCCTTTTGTCTTTCTTTCCACTGACACTTTCCTGAACAACAAATAATGAATATATTTAGAGATAAAAATAATTTTGTGACCAAATGCATTCTTGTAGAATGTGGTGTTTTCCTTTATTTTCTCTGTGGTATTGCAAACAGTCATGCTGTGGGCTGCAGGTTATATATAGATGAAGACGACTTGGTTAAGAAATGTCCAAAATACCTATAAAATACACAAAACTAGAAAAAAGTGATGCTTGATAGTTAAATAGTTGAGATAGGCTTCCTGGATGTAATGGCATTTAGCCAGTCCTGGAGAAATGGGTAATGCAATTTCAATAGTTAGAAATAGGATGAGAAAGATAAAGCAAGAAAGGGGGAGATTTGTGCATAATAGAGAGCAGGCCTGGCTGGCAGGAATTTAGGACACAGATTGGGGGTATGCTAGAAAATAAGGCTGGAAAAGAAGGTTGGAGCAAGTTTATGGAGAGCTTTATTAATACCAAGCTAAGGAATTTAGCTTATTTCTGGCAGGAATTGGGGTACCGCTGAAGAAAACTGAGTAGGGGAGAAATATTTGTTGCTACAGGAATATTACTTTGACAGTGCCGTAATTACAGGGAAAGTAAGGCAGAGGCTGTTTACTACAGGTAAGATTTCGAAGGCTTTCCATGTGCAGTCATTATGCTGGAAACTTACTGATGAAAAATGCCTACATTTTGGGATCTTGTAGTCTATAATGGAAAGGCTAAGTGGTTAAATAGATTAATATAGTGTGGTAAGTATGACAACAGCTTGATGTAGAAACAGATGACCATGGAATTTGGGGGGGTTAGAGAGCTGGGGGAGTTGAGGGTCACTCCAGAAAGGATTGATACCTGAACTGTACTGAAGGATAAGAAGGAATTAGCAAAACTCCCAAATTAAACAAAAACATTAAACACGAACATTTCTTTCTAGTATTGTTAAGTCTATTTTTTACAAAAACATAACTTATCTAAAGTTCTCACTTACTGTTTTAAAAACAAAATACATAATTGTTCTAAATTCTTAGACAAGTTTCTCTATTTTCAATTTAAATTCTTTCTTGCCTCTGTCTTCTTTCTTAAATTCTTAATAAAGAGAATAGTTTCTGCTCTCATGTAAATGTTCAGTATACAATTGTAAATACAGGATTCAACTTCCAGAGAAATTTACATTAGAAATCCAGATTTATTTATTTATTTATTTTATTTTTAAAAAATCCTATAAAAGATGACCGATAAGGGGATTTTCAACCCTTGCCTTGGTGTTGTCAGCACCACACTCAGTCAGTGAGCCAACCAGCCATCCCTATATAGGATCCGAACCCATGGCCTTGGTGTTATCAGCACTATACTCTCCCAAGTGAGCCACGGGCCGGCCCTGAGAAATCCAGATTTAGACATAATTTCTAAGAGGATGATGGATAGGTTGGAGGAATAGATGAGCTTGAGGTAGATGTTGGGGGAGAAAAGGTTGAGGGGGACAGAGGACACAGGAAGGAAAAGGGGCCGTGAAGGTGACAGAGCAGCATGCATTAATTAATGATCAATTTTGTGGGTTTTTTTTTTCCTGGCCCAGATGGATAGCTCCCAGTTGATCCACTGTCGGGAACTTGTGGCACGTCACCTTTCTACTCTGCAGTCTTCCTTGCCTCTAAATTCCGTTTATGTCTACCATCCCCTCAAGCACACCCTGGTGACCCGTGACAAAGGAGTGTTCAGATTACATCCCTCCTCTGTCCCAGGCCCAGATTTCTCCAAGGACAACAGCAAGCCAGAAGTGCCAGTCAGAGGTACAGCAGCCTTTTATGAACATCATCTGCCAGCTGTCAGTGGGTGCAAGCATACCTCTGCTAAACGCAAAGTAGAGGAAATGGAGGTGGATGATTTCTATGATGGAATCAAACGGCTCTATAATGAAGATATTGCTTCAGAAAATGTGGGTTCTGTGTGTGGCACTGATTTGTCAAGACAAGAGGGACATGCTTCCCCTTGCCCACCTTTGCAGCCTGTTTCTGTCATGTAGTTTCAACAAGTATTACCTTCAAGTGCAAACTAAGGTAGAATATTCTGGGAATGAGAACATGCAAAACCAGGAAAGGCTGTAGAAAGGTATATATCTTATCAGGCTGATTTGAGGTGAGCCAGAAAAAAAAAAATCCTCATTTACTTGTGTGGCTAATTATAATTCAACATTATATCAGCACTTAAACACCAAAAAATACATATATAAAAAGTCCAGAAGACCCCAAATTTTTTTAAAAAGTAGAAAATTTCTTTGTAGTATGTCGGTTTCACTTTTTTCTGCTAAAATGTAATGTAGCTTGCTCCATGTCAAAACTACACATTTAACATTTTTTTAAAAGTTCCAAAATTCATAGCTATCAGTCCCTTTCCCCAGCATCTTGATTTAATTGTCCTGTTGCTTTTGCTTGCTTCTCCATTGAATACATAATGAATTTTATGCATGTTGATCTATACTCTGATTTCTACCGAATAGGAACCCCCCAAAACTATTTTTTAGCAATTTAATGAACAAATTATTTTAGTGTGACAGCCATGTTTAATCCATGATTCAAATTCCAATTAGTATGAAAAGGGTACTTTGGAATTGTCCCATATTAATCAGAGGTGGTGGTAAAAAAAAAAAAAAAAAAATTTATCACATTACCACATTGATTTTGTTTCATTTCAGTTTCTAGAGTTTAGAAACTGTTTTCATTTTTCTTTATCTTAAAGTGAAAGCTTAAAAGTGGCATGTAATTAGGACAGTCTTAGATTTGTTGAAAGCATTTTTGACATTTGTATAAAAGAATTTGTGGTAAAGTTAATATATCCAGGTGCTCACCAAAGATACATGTATGTAACAACTACAAGTAGATTTTTATAAGTGATCAGTTTTCACTCATTTATAATCAGTAGGAGAGACTGTCTAGATGTTTGGGCAGCTCTGTGATTTTAGTCTGTAACGTGATAACAACTGAATTTAGTACCCTAGTTTTATGTTAAGCTATTAGGATTTTTTTGATAAAGTTATTCCCCCTGCTTCCCCAGTCTACCTATATTTCTCTTAATGACTTCTGGATCCTGCGGTCCCTTTGCAGTCTGAAGAAGGTATTGCAGTCAGAACCATGTACTGATGGTAAAAGCCTCTGGTAGCAATAAAAAGTTGTCCTTAACCTTTGTGTCTAACTTTTTTTCCGCTTCTGAAGAGGTGCGGGTTCCTGATTGCTTATTTCAACTAAGGAAAACTATAGAATAGAAACATGCTTACTGAAAATAAAACATGCAGAAAAGGAGATTTGAAGGTGACTGACAGATACGGGTTTTAGACATAAGGAAGAATTTTTCCTTTATAGTATTTTCTGTCTGGTGGACTGTGGATCTTCTGAACAGGAGGGCAGGCTCAGACCCATATCTAAATAACATGTCATTTTTAGTCAATCATTTTCAAATTTAGCAGAGCAAGAGTATTCTCAGGTAAACATCTGACTTTTTTCAAATTGTTGTGACCTATTTTATGACTTTACAAGCCACTTGGAGGGGAAGCATTTACTCATGTGTTAAGTATAGGGAGTGGGAAGGAAGATAAAAGAATGAAGGAACTATATTGTGTGAAAATAGCAAGGGATCGGCTTCACAGATATAAAAAATCACATTCATCCTAATCATCTGGTTCTATTTCTTAGTTCTGAATTGTGGGAGCTCTAAGAACTTTACAACTATATATGTTCATAGTATCCTCTGCTCACCCCCCTCCCTCCCGTAACAGGTGAGGACATAGTTATGTAGACAGCTAGGGAGAAAACTGAGTCTTAAGGTCAGAATATTTCATTTGTAGTCCAGTAGTTACAAAGAAGTTGGACAATAGCCATTGCTTGAGCTTAAGATTTCCTAATACTAAACACTGACGTTCAATCAGTTTGGAAGTGACATTGTTTTCATGAGACCCTGAATCAAGTGGGATGTTTGGGCTGCTAGTTCTCATGCCTCAAAGTGTATTCAACCCATGGTTCAATGATGGTACTTTGGAGACCTGGCCATCCTGAGCACCCTTTCAGTTATAGCCTTCCTGCCATCATTACAGAGACCTGAGTCCCCTTCCTCACAACCTACTGTGGGTCCTTGGAGAACTCTGGCTTGAGGCAGAAATGAATTGAGACAAATAGCCCAATATTCTTGAACAATATATGGAACTTTTCATTAAGAATGTTTCTTCTGTTTAGTTCCTGTTTCACCTGAAACTGTTCTCAGCTTGTGCCAGTTTACTTGTGTTAAATCTTGGCATCACATTACAAACTCTTCCAAAATTTGGAAATAAGCTTTATGTTTCTTAAGTGTTTGGTTCCTCCTGATGGTTAAAAAAACCTATCAATCATTCCATGAAGCCTCCAGAAAGGCAAGGGAATAAACTTGAGCACAGTAGTTCTCTGATCCTCCAACAGAAAAAGCTAAAAACTATGCTCTGGCCCTTGAAGCTCAGATTTACTAAGGAAGCTAAATATTTACTTCCTTCTCTACAAGATTGATATGAAGTTGATTATCTGTTGAGAATTGAATATTTTCTGTACAGACAGATGATGTCATATTACTGTGGAGGAGGAAGGGAGAGCTGAGAATGAGTGCTCCCAAATGTCAGCAAAAGGTCAGATATATAACTGACTAGTCAGACCTGACACTGCCTTTGGCTCTGAAGGAATCTACAGGGTAGCTCTTCACTCAGCCACATGGATGAGAATTAGAGTCTGCATTCCCACTGTTGAGGGAATTAAGACTGGTGTCTGTGCCAAGAAACATTATTTTTCTTTTATGTTGTTAGAACCAACCATTTCTGTGTGTCCTCTGTATTCTCTTTACATACCCTCAGCCACATGGATGAGAATTAGAGTCTACATTCCCACTGTTGAGGGAATTAAGACTGGTGTCTGTGCCAAGAAACATTACTTTTCTTTTATGTTGTTAGAACCAACCATTTCTGTGTGTCCTCTGTATTCTCTTTACATACCTGGATTTTCAAGCTTCCTAATTTCCTAATTCTGGAGTTCCTGAAGCAAGAAGGCAGGTTGTGCTTGAGCTTTCCTGCCAAAAGCAGCACAGTGGCCTTTCACTTGGGAAGAAACTGTGGTAAGCTACTGATGCTCAGCCAGCATAGTGGAGAGCATATATTCATCTTTAAGGTAGTTCTCACAATCATCCTGGGAGATGAGCATCCCCAGTTTACATCAGCAAATATTGAGGGTTACTGTTCAATAGTTCAATACCACATAGCTAAGAATTTTTAACAGGGTTCAACTTCTCTCTCATCTCAAACCTTTACCCTTTATATTCGACATCATAAAGTTTTGTCTAACATGGAAATGTTACTTCTAAAACTTTCAAAATTCTAGAAATTAGCCTTTTAAACTACTTAGAATCTCTGCTCCTGCTATTTTTTCTTTGAGCTTTGGCCACTAGATGGTGCTTTTAGGAAAATAAAGCATCTTTTCAAATTTCTGGGAGAAACTGAGTTGTTTGGGCTTGCTGTTTGGTAATGAGCAGTTGAACACTCATCTCACTGCTAAGCCAATATGTCAACATCATTTGCAGTTAGAAGCTCACATCACTTAAGGTACAGGAGGCCTGTGCATGTGAGATTGAGGGAACTTCACCAAGATCAGCCATGGTAAGGGGCAAGTGGTGGCTGGATATCAAGTCTCAGACCAAAATGCCAAAAAAAAACCAGTTTTACAAATTAAAAATCATAACTAGTGAGTTGTGTGGTCCTGCAAAGTACACTAGAAATACAACTGAGAAGGCTTGAAAACAGCCAAGTCCCAAAACCTTGCTGCTTTATTTATTTTATTGAAATGATTATACACATCTATGGGGTACCACGTTGAATATCAATACCCTTGCTACTTTAAGTCTGAGTTGGATTTAACCAATCATTAGGACAAAAAAGATGAAGTGCACACTTATGTAGCACAGCTTGCATCAAGGAATTAAATTGAAAGCTTTCCCTTACCATATTGATGGGTTTAATGGTTTTTATGATATACTAATGTGTAAGACTCATGTAGGACAGAAACATAACTCCCTTTTGCACCATTTCTTGATTACTCTTTACTTCAAAAGGTGTAATAGGAGGTAACCAAGAATGTCTTATCAGTTATAGAAATTTGAGAAGAGCTCACAACTAATCTTTTAGTTCCCAGGAATTTATGAGTTAAGTATGAAATGAGAACTTCTCCCCTTTCTTGAGTCAAAACTGTAACCTTCAGAGCAGAACAAATGCCACAACTCGTGACCTTATTGTGTTACACAATAGTAAGGTAATAGAAAATGATTTTGAATAGCCCTAGCCCAGTGAACTGGTTTCACATTTCTTGAAAACAGCTTATTTTGTTAGGCAATAGGATACTCCAGAATGGAGAACTTAGGCAAACAACCACTGAAAAGTGATTGGTGGGAAGTAGGACTCCTGCTTTTCAGAATATCATCAAGCTTCAGGAGACGAGTTAGCATAGAAAGGGCTTACCTTTTCCTTTACTCCAAAAATTTGCTGTGATTATCAAGTACACATTGCAATTCACTGTGCATGGTTACATCCCCAGCACCTAATGTAGGCCTGGTGCAGCATATAGAATAAAGTATTTGGAAAAGAGGAAAGGATGAGGTGATGGGTGGTTGTAAAAAGGGGGGGGGGGGCAGCAAGGAGAGAGAACTCCTGCTCTTCAGAGCATTGTGCTAATAATGCACGGATTAAGCCAAGCTCTTTACAGAATGTTATCCTGCTCCCCACCCCTCCATTCACACACACATTCATTTGTTCTTTTGTGGGACAGGGATCAACCTCATTATAATTGTCCCTGCCTCCCTTGGTCTAGGCACCATAATTTTGAAAGTTTCCACAGTGGACTGGAAGGCCATTCAACTCAACACTGCAAATAACTGATTTGAGGCAGATGTGAAATCTTTTCTACCTCACACGATGTTCCACTGACAACCAAAAGATCACATTTATATACAACTACCAGTCAGGAACAGCACGGTCAGAAAGGGAGGTGAGTGGATGCCTAGGCTCACAATTAGTCTTCCCAAATTAATACACTCAGTCCCTTCACCAGCCCAGTTGTTTGCTAGAGATTGATCTGAAAGCCAGATAGCATCAGTCACAAGGACTAGATACCATGGTCTTAAGAATTCAAGCACAAGGATCTTCAAAGTGAGCCACACTGCCATCACTGTCAGTCTCCAGGGTGGAAAGATGGTAAGTCACCTGTGAAGCAAAAGGTTTGGGGCAGAAAATTCATCTAAATACACTGAAAATTATGGACTCAAGTTTTTCAGATATCCAGAACTATTTACCCATCATCTGGGCCAATGGTAGACAAAAAAATATAACAAAAATAACTGAGAAGGGGGCCGGCCCAGTGGCGCACTGCTATAGTGCGCCGCTTGGGAAGCACGGTGCCGATCCCGCCGAGGGTTCGGATCCCACATATAGACCGGCCGCTCACTGGCTGAGCGAGGGGCGGGAGCAACACCGAGGGTTGCGATCCCGTGGCCGGTCCCAGTCTGGTACGGGCACGACACTGAGGGTTGCGATCCGTTGCTGGTCACGAAAAAAGACAAAAAGGAAAAAAAAAATAACTGAGAAGGAAGTTTCATTTAACAGGTACCGTGAGTGGGAAAAAAAAGTTGGTCAGACATATTGGGATAATGACCCATTTTTATGTGCACATACTGATTCAGAAAGTCAGATCTCTCTCTGTGTGCTGTGCTATCTCAAGTAGACCATCTAGATTATGCAAGTATGAGAAGGCAAAGTCCCTATAAAGCAATATTTTTAAGATTGAGAGAAAAATAAAGAGCCTGTTAACAATGGAAGTATGTTCAGGTGGCCCAATTTTCTCTGCTTTGCTTTTCCACAGTCTAGTTTAAGATAAACCAATAATTTTTTTTTATTGCTGATAATTATTCCTGGGATGGTTTCATATTCCTTTTAGTTGGTCAGCCAGGAGAACTTGAGAACCGACCAGTTTTATCAACTGGGGATAAAGGGAACCCACGTGAGGTAAAATGCCAGATGAATAGCAGTGTATCCTAGGAGAGAGAGATGGCAAGGCTCATGGCCAGGAGCGTCCGTGACCAGCTTCGCCTAGGTAACTGAACAGAAGCTAACCTACTTACAATAGCCTCTGTTCCCCCACCCCCTCCAATGAAGATGATTACTATTACACTTTCTTTAACCCGGGTACTAAAACAAAACAAAAGGAATAGTAACAACAGACTATACATACATTTCTCTACCTAAAAAAAATACTGCCAAATTTGATTTTTATTTTTTATTTATTTATTTATTATTATTTTTTTTTAAAAGATGACCGGTAAGGGGATCTTAACCCTTGACTTGGTGTTGTCAGCACCACGCTCAGCCATTGAGCGAACCGGCCATCCCTATATGGGATCCGAACCC